AGTCTCGTCATAAGTATTGTGAATTAAACATGGTTTTCTGTGTTACCTTAGTTGCACAAAATCGCGAAAAAAAGACATTTAAGATTTTTTTGTGCTTCACGATAAGTCGTGCAAAATTTTCTTGTTCGCATAAAATAGCAAAGAAATTTTTCGGTGACTCAAAGTCGCAGCAAATTTTTATTCGGACATACTGTTTTGGTTTGGGATTGTCGCAACACGAGTCTCCGAAAACGGCCTTGTTTTTTTAAAATTCTTGCCTTGATCGTTTTATCTCTTTGCCAACGAGTTATGCTGACGTTAATAATACGGTATGTCCACTAAAAAGTTGCTTGAATCCTAACTGAGTTTTCTTTGCTTCAATTTGTTTCCTTTCTAAATTTTAACTTTATTCCTTTTCAGATTTTCTTTTTCTGTTTGCAATCTGGTCAATCGGAATAGTAACCCGAACCAGCTTTCAAACCATCGGGTGGTCTTTCATAGTGCCCATTTTCGGATTTGTTCTGGCCCACTTCGCGTTGACGTTCCCGTTTGTACCGGCACTCATCAACGCCTCCTGGCACAAAAAACACAAAGACAAAACGAAGAGTGAAAAGAAAAAGTCATCTAAAGAGAGAGATAAAGAAAGTTACGAGAAGCTTGAGTAACCAATGACGTCAGAAACGAAAGGACGATGTTAAAGGTTTCACACCTCAGGATGTCGTTGCGTCATGAACAATATACGATTGGAATCATTAACAATGACGTCACAACGAGCTTTTTATCAAGTCACGACAGGTCTCAGTGACGTCATTTTGCGAGGAAGATGACGTCATTTGCCACGACAAGATTCGATGACGTCATTGATGACGTCATTAATCATGAGTCACGGTCATGGTCATGTACGGCTCGGAGGAGAAGAGTTGCGGAAGTTCTATTGGTTTGCTTTCTATTTCTGATTGGGAAATTCGGTGCAATTACAAAGTCACATTCAAAGGATATGAGTATTGTAATTATTTATGATTGATAATTAGCTAAATTAAAAACACGAATGGAGTTAAGTTCAAGAAAAAAATTAAAAAGGACCTTCGATTGCTTGTTTCAACCAAATTTCAATAGTTGAATTTATTCTTGAGCATAATTGTTTTTCACAAGTAGTTGAAATGGGTTTCTCAGTGAACCTGCCTTAAAGAAAATGAAAAGGAGAATAAATACCATCAAAAACGTTTTTTGGAGCAATTTTTGTTACAGTTGTGATCAACAAATAATTCACATGCTGCTACTAATACCACTGGCAATGCTGTGAGGGTTGGATAATTCTCCCGCTTGTCAATCGAAAGGAAGGTGGTTCGAGACTCACCTGATCTGCGCTCGTTGCTTGAGGCTGACGCAACATTACTCAGTGCGAAAAAAAATCAAAAAATTGCAGATAGTTTTTGAACCAGGAGCATCATTGATAAATTGGCGTTTGTTAACTTCATAATCTATCTATCTATACTATATTTAAACGCGAGTGACAGCTATCTCCCATGTTTAAGCATAATAATTTTGCATGTTCAACGAAAGAGTTTTTTCATGAATTGCAATGCTTAAGGAAATTTTTCAATAAGTTTTCCGCAAGGCCATTAATTTTTCAGTATTTTTTTTCGAGGCCAAATTAAGTCTGTCTGTCTCTCTGCATACCTGCTTTTTTAATTAAATTGATTGTCTGTCTACTCGTCGCCTAATTTTTTACTTTTCATCAATTATCTATTATATATATTTTTATATATTTAAATGCGGGCTTTACTATCTCGCCACGCTTAAGCTTTTTCAACGTAATTATTTTGCATGTTTAACAGAAGAATTTTTTCACGTTTATGCTATATCGTATATTGCAATGGTTAATGTTTTTTTTCGATTTTTTTGTTTAAATTCAGTGTTTATTTCATCAACTTTGAAATTAGCAACCCAATAGTAGGATTGTTTCAGAGTTTTCCCAGGTTTTGCGATTCCTGCCTCCATATATGAATAACCAAATCCTTTTAGCTTCCGAGATAGGCAATTTTCGAGATTTTTCAAAAATTTCTAGAAAATCTAATTTAGAAACAATTCTCGATTTTTGAATATCTAACCCTGTAGTTGGGTGCTGTCAGGGTACTCTCAAAGGTTGCGAATCTTGCCTCTGATTATGGCTGCTCAATTTTTGTAGTTTTCGAGATATGAAGTTTTTTTGGGTTTATTAAAAAGTTTTTAGAAAACTTTGATATAAAAATTTAACAAAACTTGAAATTACCATCTCTGTAGTGAGACTCTTTCAGGGTACTCTCAGGAGTTGCGAATTCTGCCGCCAAATATGACTGCTCAAATCCTTGTAGTTTTTGGGATATGACGTTTTTTATGGGTTTCTCCGAAGTTTTCAAAAAACTTGAATGTTTAAAAATTCCAAAAGTTTGAAAATCTCAATCCTGTTATTGGAATCTGTGAGGGTACTCTCAGCGGGTTTCAAATCTAGCCTCTGATTATGGCTGCTCAAATCCTTGTAGTTTTTGAGATATGACGTTTTTTATGATTTTCTCCGAAATTTTCAAAAAACTTAAATATTAAAAAATTCCAAAAATTTGAAGATCTCAATCCTGTTATTGGAATCTGTGAGGGTACTCTCAGCGGGTTTCAAATCTTGCCTCTGAATATGAATGCTCAAATTCTTGTAGTTTATGACGTTTTTTCAGGTTTTTTCTCGAAATTTTTAAATTTTTCAGAAAACTTAGGTATAAAAAATTCCACAAAACTTGAAACTTTTTTCTCTCTAGAGGCTTTGTAGGGTGCTCTCAGGAGTTGCGAGTTTTGCCTCCCAATTTGACTGCTGAAATAGTTGTAGTTTTCCAGATACGACGTTTTTTGTGATTTTTTCAAAAAAATTATATGAAAATTAAATTAATTTTTTTCTTTCAAAGTGTGAATTTCCTAACCTGTATTTGGGGGGCTGTCAGAGTAATCTTAGGGGTTGCAATTTTGGCATCCAATTAAAAATGTCCAAATCATTTTTGCTTAGGAGATACGAAAATTTTTGTGATTTTTTGGAAATTTTCAGAAAACTCAAATTACAAAATAATTCGTTAATGTGAAATTCCGAGCCCTGTAGTTGTGTATTTTCAAAGATTGCAAATACTGCCATAAAAAAAAGACTGCTCAAATTTTGATAGTTTTCGAGATGTGAATTCCTTTTTTTTAGAAAACTGAAAGTGAAGGTTCTAAAAATTTCCCAACGAATTCTGAAAAGCTACCTTGTACTATTGTGAGATATACACTTTTGGCTGGCTGAGCCTAAAATTTTTCGTAAGGCGCCTTTGGCAAAAAGTTTTCCAAAAAGTGCCTAAAAAGTGCCTTTTTTAGTCTGTTTTTTCAAAAACATTTGCCTGCAGCGCAGAAAATGCTGCAAAAAAGGGTCTGGGTCGTGATTTGCGAGAGCTCAGAAAATCATTTTTGTTGACCTAAAAAAAATTTTACTTCGAGATATGAATATTCTCAATTTGAGTTTTTTTTTGAAAAATAAAGTAACCTGTTAAAGTAACCCTACCGAACAATTCGAAATTGATATTGCAAAAAGAGTGCTTTAAAATGCCGCTTTTGCTCTCAAAACGATTCACTTGTAACTCGGCACTGCTTGAAATTGCCCTCTTAAAAACACAGACTATGAGACTCGATAATTTGTTGAAATAGAAGTTAAAGACTTGAATGAACTAAACTGCGATCGTAAAATTTCTGGATGGAAACTTCGATTTTGAACGTATGAAAATTAAGTATTGCATTTTCAAGAAATTGAGGATTAAAATAAAGTAATGTCGGAGAACTTTAGTTTTTCAGAGGTTCTTTATCTTTCAGAGTTCTTTTATTCAGAAAAAATGTCCAATAGTATCAAACTTGCATATTAATTTTATAGATGTTTGCTGAAACTTAAAACACTTTTTCTATGTAATATCTAGCGAAAAGGTTAGGGTTTGCATCGAGCGAATACATTTAAAATTTGAAATGAACCAGCTCGCTGGATTTTTTTTTTGCGTTACCCAGCTTTCTTTTATTCCCAAGAACTTCCAAAATGGATAAATATATTCAGTGTAGTTGCAAGAATTTGAAAATAGTGCATGAAACCGAAACCTAATAGGTCAACTGAAACCTAATTATCTAACAGTGTACTAATTGTAAGATCGGGTAATTTGTTATAATAAACCAAAGCTTGTCATATAATAAGCATCACAAGCAATTGCCCTTTTTTGTGAGCATTAAGTTTCAAAATCCGTGACATAACTCGAGGGCACTTTGAATAAAATGATCTGTTGACAATTTTAAGAACTTAACGACAAGGAATCATTTTTTGCTCGATCTGATTTTCAATATAAACTAAGTTAGATTACTTTTTTTAAATGTAATTATTGAAACTTATTCTTCATTTTTCTGGCCAAAATGTCGTTCGATTCTGGCGAAAATTAGTATTTGTTAGAAACCCCCAAAATTAGAGGAAAAACATGTGCTGCAACCAAGGAAAATCATTTTGCATAACAGGCGTAGCTTTTACCAGTTTGGCACTTTGTTTTATGATACCTGCTTTTGCAGCTTGGGGAGTCCTTCTCGTCCCTGAAGGCGACTCAGGTTCGTATAGTGGCTTCACTTTTCACTACCCTGCCGAATCTGCAGTGACATTTATAGCTCATGTTATGGCGATGGGGCTATGCATATTGTGTCTAGTGACATGGTGCCTTCTGTTTTGTGGTAAACAAAGATACAATGAACGAAAAATATTCAATATTCTTAATCTCATTGCCAATGTTGTCAACGAAGTTTGCATCTTAACTGCATGTGTAGTTTTCACATTAATTTGGAGCTCTTACGGAAATGCTACGAGTGACTATGGCGTATTGTTATGGACGAGTTTTGTGTCTGTTTCAATTTCTTTGTGCTTTGCTATCGCGCTTTTCGCTTGTGTTCCGAAAAATGTTCCGGCATCGGAGCGTAAAAACAATCAAGGTCAAGCAGCACCTCAGAAAATGAACAATCAAACGTACCCGGCTAACCAAGGTCAATATCCGCCACCTCAAGGTCAGTATCCCCCACCTCAAGGTCAATATCCCCCACCTCAAGGTCAGTATCCGCCACCTCAAGGTCAGTATCCATCACCTCAAGGTCAATATCCGCCACCTCAAGGCCAGTATCAGCCATCTCAAGGACAACAAGGTCGATTCCCCCCGCCTCAGGGCCAATATCCGCCACCTCAAGGTCAGCAAGGTCAGTATCCGCTACCTTATGGACAGTATCCTCCGCCTCAAGGCCAGTACCCGCCACCTCGAGGTCAATATCCACCACCTCAAGGTCAATATCCACCACCTCAAGGTCATCAAGGCCCATACCCTCCAATTCACACTCAAACTGGTCCGTACCCACCGGTCCAAGGTCAAAACCCGCAAGCAGGAGGCCAATCAAACGCTGTTGAAGATCCTCAAAGCGGCGCTGCCTCTAGAGGTCTGAATGATCAAACTAAAGGCCAGCCAAGTCCAAGTAATGCAGCTGCCCAAAGTGCTCTAGCAAACGTTGCAACAGCAGCGGTAGAGACCACATCGCCGCAAGCCGCCGAAGCTGTAGAATCGGCAGAACCACCGAAAAACGCCGGCACTCCTACAGATAAAAACGAGTATCAAAACGTGGAACAAAGGCCGGAACTTGACGAGCCAAAAGCAATTGGTGGAAACGATTCGGACTATCGAAAAGGAAGCGGAGCTCGGTCTTCCACCCAGTCGAAGCCTAAAAAGCGGAAGTCGTCCAAAGCAAACCCCCTTGAGGCGAACACACTAGCAGGAGAAACAAAAGAACCCTAAAAGTATATGGGGGTGTCAAACTGTTATTAAAAAGGTCAGCCCGTTTTAGCCAATAGACTTGCTGTGATACTGTACAAATCTAAGAAAGATCAAAATTGTTCATTTTTTAACAAGGCATACAAACGTTCATTAGCGGAGTGTGGATTTAATAGCAATTTGGTTCAGTTTGGTGTGAATTTAATAACAAAGTTATTTGGTTTTTACAAACTTAAGGAAAAAAATTATGTTTCAAGAAAAAAGCTTTTTGCTTCCTTCTCGATCGACAACAAGCATTAAAATGATTGAAAATTTCTATGTTCAATATGCTAGTTTGGGCCAAGTACCTGGAAAGCTGATTTTTAAATTTTAAGTTGATGGATAAAAAATCTCTCTTGCCATAGAGAACATTGTATTAGTGATTCGACATTCGAAGAAGGTGACAGAATATTTGCGCTGGGGTGATTTTTTTCAACAGAAAAATTTCGACTTTTTGACTAGCAATTTTTGATGAATTTTTTAAAATCATTCGAAAAATACTGTTGTTATGAGCTCAAATTTAAAAAGAGATTTCATATGTGATTATTTTTTGTTAAGGTATGTGGGTTTAAAGATTGCTATTTTGGCTTATTTGGGACATTTAACGCGCCATATATTTCGTGCTTTTAACGCATAATAGAAATCTTCCCAAATTGGATTAAAGCCAAGTCCAAGTTGATTGTGATTAATCCAAAGTTACTTCGAAAACTCTTGCATGGGTTCATACTCTTTCGGCGGCATAAATTCGACGTATCTGTCAGTAACGAAGGTTTGTTTATTCCAGTAGGTGTCCTCCTTTGTGATCAGCCGTCTCTCTTTTTATTTTGGTTGTAGAAGGTTCCACATTAGATATGAATGTAGTTCATTAAACACGATTCGCACACGCGTGTTAATATTGCTCTGCAGCAAACAGGAAAACAATTAAGCAGACCATGTATCCGGAAGCGGCTTCTGCGACAAAGCAAAACTTTAAAACGAACGGCTATCTCGATTCCGTAAAAAGTCCCAAACACGGGCTTCAACTGAGTCAAAATTAGACTAACTTTTAACGTTTATTTCATTCAAAATTTATTAAAAAAGCTGAACTAGCCAAAACACTGAGCTCTGCACACTAAGGACAACTCTCCAGTTTTATTTAGTCCGAAACTTAATTTCTTGAGTTAGCTTTAAAACGAGACAACGCAACGGACTCTTTAGCTCAAAGCCTCGTTCGTACACCATGACAATGCATATTTTTTAAAATATTTATTTGGGTTTTAAGTAACCAGCTGTGGGATGACGCACTATTTGATGGTCTTAAGACTCTTTTTCCCGTAGGTGATGATTGTCTCATATCGGAAGTGGTGTTACTCCGCGGAGACAGGAACACGCGTTAACTCGACTGAGTATTTGAAAGAATGTAGCTAGTTCATTAGACCTAGTATCATTTAACTTATGACTAGCCATTCGAACCCTCAACAGACATCAGTAACAAAACTCCTCTACAGGGTCCCGTTGATAAAATTATTGAGTCCATTGTGAAATTTGTATGTAGTGCCACCAGTCATGCCCAATCCTTTCTTGGTCGGAAAGAATTTTACTAAATCTGCCAGCTACAGCGTACTGTTTCGAGCTCGCCAGTCTTAAAAATTTTTTTAAACTCAGATGCAGCAATAAGGTATGTAGCTGAAATTGATGTTGCAAAAAAAGATTGCTTTGTTTTTCGCAATTGGAGCATACCCAAAAGAAAATGAAATGTTGTCACTCAACAAAAAAAATCAGATCGTTGGTTCAAATTATCACCTCCGTTCTACGGGCCCTATCAAAGCTTGCGGAAAGAAACTTCAGCTGAAATTCTTGGTAAAAGAAGATGTTCTTCTTTTACTAGTAGCGCTGATAGTTTCTCAGTTTTGCGGTGATCGTCACAGTTAGAGCGTTGACTTCCTCTGTTCTGTAACACAACTGCATTACGATGTCCTAAAGTTAAGTTCGCTTCTTTGAAATATCAAAAGAAGTTATGTGATGAGCAGTATTCGGGGTTTAGCAATTGGGTTTAAAGCAAACACCGTTTTTCAAACATTGACGTGCCGAGTACTTCGGTCCGAATTAGGTAATCATCGGATAGAACGCTGCACAAAGATGAGCTCTCAATTTGTACTGCCATGTTACACCCGCTCACCTCGCAGTTAAGCTCTCATTAGACACAAGTTCGTGTGTCATTGGAAAAAATGAAACATTGCGCGTCGAGGCATCAGTTTTGGTTTTGGTCCGATAACTGAACAAACTTTGTCGACGCCAAAAATATCTGCTCTCATGCATTTGTACATAAGAGGAAAAAGTGTAATTCCAATGAATCACATAAATGAATCGGGGCAGCTTCAAGCGAGCTTTAACATTAATCGTAGGTTCCCGTGAACTGACCGACAAAGGTAACGTTAAAAATTTTTGTTCCGTAGAATTTTTTTGAAACAAGACCAAAGGGTTAGAAAAAGCAAGTAAATCATTTGTTACATTGGAAATAGTTTGATTCTTCTACGACACATAGTCAGTATTGAGTTTTTATATTGTGGGATTGGAATAATTCTGGACAAATACCAGCAACAGTCTCACAGGGGCACAGCATGCTGCTCGTGACTTTTGCCTTTTTTTCAAAAAAAACTTTGCCATTCTAAAATCAATTCTACAGAGCGTTGACACTGATGTTGTTTGTGATTGATTGTCATTCAGTGTATTCATCAGTTGCTTCAGTATTATCTCATCAAAACTGCAACCAATACAATCACAAATCCTTAGAGAACAACAGCGTACAAACTAGTTGTTCGAGTTTTTTGAACAAGCGATGACAGTTTCAATTTTTCAGTTATATGGATTTTGTTGCGTTGAAAGTGAAACTGTTTCAAACCTTGCAATTCATGTTTATAATTAAATTGGTCACAACTGAAAGGCTAACACATGTACATTTTTGGATTTGACAAAAGAAAAAAATTGAAATTTTATACAATTTTTTTGAATCAAAAGTTATAGACAAATAAACAAACTTATAAGGATGTAGTGTGCCACAGTACTCGGTTTTGACCAAGTCATTAGAACTAGTAACATCATATGTAACTTAAATTGGTGTTACCTAAAAAAAAGATTGATATTAATTTTGAAAATTGAGCAACACGTAATGAAAAAGAAATATTGTCATTCATTTAAAAAAAATGATCAATGTATTGGATTACGACATGTTCATCCACGGCTCGTCAAAAATACACTTCAGCAGAAGTTTTTTGGTAAAGTAAATGGTTCTCTTGTAGCGCTAATCATCTTTCAATTTGACGGCGAAGTTCACCATCAGAACATTAACTACCAAGGTTATGTAACATTAGTGCAGTACGCTGTCCTAAAGTAACTTTCGATTCTTTGAACCATCGAAAGGAGTTGCATGATAAGCCGTACTCGGAAAGCGGCTACCTTTAAATTTATGAAGTTGGACGTTCTGACAGAGCGTTTGGGTTTTAAGCTACCACCATTTCTCAAAAACTGCGGTGTCAATAGCTTCGGTCCATAATACGTAATCATCCGGCAGAGCGCAGTCATAAAATCGGTTTTCGTGTTCATTAAACCCGATGTTCTTCTTGCATTTGTGCTCATATTAGATACAAGATCTCGTGCCATGGGAAAAAATTAAATCATTGCGCTTTGAGGCATCTCACTCGCTTTTTGGTTCGACAATTGAACAAACTTTGTTGAAATCAAAAACAAAATCTGCTTTTATCCATTTAGGAATGCTTCTGTTACATTAGAAGGCAAAAAGTGCCTGGATTTCCAGATCAGTGAATTGCATCTGCAAGTGAGTCTTCTTTACATCAATTGTAGATTGCCGTAATTGACCGACAAAGATCACGTTAAAATTTTTTGTTCTGTGATTTTGTTAAGAAAGGAGACAAAACGGTTAGAAATTGCAGTTGGGACACAGAAAAATGTTTGATTCTTCTTCAACACGGCGTCAACATTGGGTTTTTGCATTGTTGGACTGGACTTACTCTGGGTCAATAGCACCAACACCTTCAAATTATTTTGATCTAACTAGGACACAGCACGCTGCACGTGACCTCAAATTAAAGTCTTTAACGCGTTGATAATGAGGTGAAATTACTAGTTTGTCGTTTTCACTAATTCAATGTACTCATTAAATCCGACCAAAAGCCTAGAAAGAATGTCAAAATTGTTTCTGTTGTTCAAAAAGGTTCAAACATCAGTAGTATTATCTCACAAAACGCTCAGCATAAAAAAATGTAATTATTACAGTCGACAAAATTCCTTCTCAGTTCCCAATCATTGTCTCCACGGTTGTGATAGTCTAAATAGCAGACAATCTAGAGTTTGCTTCAGAAACACGCTTCTAGATTGTCTGCTTTTGAGACGATCACAACCGTGGAGACAATGATTGGGAACTGAGAAGAAATAAACTTGTCGACTGTAATAACTACATTTTTTTCTGGTTATGATTTCGAATAGATTGAAAGATTTATTAGCTCAGGTGAAGTCGAAACCATAGCGTACCATTTGGTTGTTCAAAATTTTTGTACATGCGATGACAGTTTCAGTTTCCAAAGTATATGGACTTGGTTGCACTTCAAACGAATATGTTCCAAATCATGCATTACATGTGTATACCAATTTTTGGTGGCAACTGAAAGGGAAGCAGTTGTAAGATGTCGTACAAGCAGTAGATACTTGGTTATATTTTAAAGCCGTAAAGCCGCCAATTCTGGCTGGCTAAACTCAATTTTTTTTCGGCGTCAATTTCAACTAATTTGATGGGGAAACGCGCTCCAAGCAAAAAATGCGATTTTCGGCGGTCAAAATTGCTCACAAAACTTGACCACAAACGCCTTTTTTGGTCTTTTTTTTCAAAATTGTCGCCAAAACAGAGTCTTCTTGGTGCTTTGGGAGAGCTCGGAAAATCTATTTGTTCAACCTAAAAAAATCTACAAAATTTTTTTATTTGTTTTTTGTTG